TTAAGGAACAGGAACAGGCAGTGAGGAAAGGAGCCCTGTGTGGCCCTGACACCCCCAGGCGGTGGGATGGTGTCCTGCACAGATTTACTTCCGGCCTCTTCAGCTCATTCTTTGGTCTTTTCTTATGTGGTTGTGATGGTGGGAAATTGAGTCATGACTGCCTCTCCATCCAGGCTGAGTCCCCCCGGTACTGACCACTCTGGGCTGAGTCCCCCTGGTACTGACCACTCTGGGCTGAGTCCCCCCCAGTACTGACCACTCTGGGCTGAGTCTCCCCTGGTACTGCCCACCAAGCAGATGTGCGGTGGGCAGAGCGCATGTTTGGGAGCCCTTGGGGCTGGCTGCCTGCAGCCCCTGGGACTAGGTACCCCACCTCCCTGCACCTCATACTTCTGTGTGAGGCAGGATCATCCCACCCTGCAGGGGGACTAGGAGGGGTCTGTTCACTCTGACCTGTTGTACTGAACCTCCTCTTTCAAACAAGAGGCTTGTTGAGGTAGGGACTCAAGCTCAGAGAGGTGGAGTGAGCTGCCTGAGGTCACACAATGAGTGAGAGGGGCCGAGACGGGAGCCACAGCCGTGTCCTTGGCCCTGCCTGGTCTGTGGATGGGTCTCTGCTCAGCCACTGCTCCCCAGTCTCCAGCTAGCGCCTCCCTGGATGCAGGGGCCCCTACACCCACTATCCCTGGGAGGGTAACTGAGTTGCCTTCTCCACAGGTGTGTGGAGATGCTGATCAAGGAGCAGATGAGGAAGTACAAGGTGAAGATGGAGGAGATCAACCAGCTGGAGGCAGCAGAGAGCATGGCCATCCGGAGACTCTCACTCCTGCGACAGAACACTGTGAGCATGTGGGCGGGGCTCAGGGGTTGGGCGCGGTCTCCACCCCTCAGACTCCCCACACCCTTGGCCACAGGCAGCCTGGCCAGGGGCCTCAAGGCAGCAGGGTTAGAGGCCCATTCCCAGCCTCAGGCAAACGCCCCTCTCAGAGGGCAGCGGGCGACCTGTCACTCTCTTGGCAGTGGTTCGGGTCATTCTCCAGCTCCATCCCTTGCTGACCTGGGCCCCCGCCCACAAGGAAACGTTCCCACAGCAGAAGTGGCTCCACACTAGGGGGTGGGGGGTGGGGGAGCGGGTGGGGGCGGGTCCTGGGCTACTGTGGGAGGACCCTTGTCTTTGTCCCTGCGGTCAGATGTGGCCCGGTGTCCTTGACGCACACCTTTGTCAGGGTCAGTGGCCCCCAGTGGTCACCCTCTGTTCATCTCTCCCCCAGCCATGGCCTCTCAAACTGGGGTTTTCGTCTCCCTATGAGGCGATGCTGGTATGTACACGCTTAGCAGCCGCCCTGCATGTCTCCCCCAGCGGTGCATGCTGGAGTTCCCCTTGGCCCAGGGCCCTTGTAGGATAGACCTAATGTGTCCTGACCTTTCCGAAGTGCATGCTGGGGGAGGCCCGTGCCTGCTGACCACCTGTGTGAGAAGGACGACTAACCAGCTGAGCGCCGGCCACCCCCTCCCCGCGTGACCCTGGAGAAGCCTCACTAAGCCCACCGTCCACGTCAGAACTAATCTCCCAGGCCGCTCACACCGCACTCTCTGCCAGCCCAGGGGGCTGGCCAGACCTGCTGCTTCTCTGTTGCAGAACAAGAGCCCCAAGGCCCGGGTGAGTAGCAGCGGCGGCCTGGAGGAGCTGGACGTGCTGCCAGAGGAGGAGGTGGCCGGAGGCGACGAGGATCGCGAGAAGGAGATGCTCATGGAGCGGATCCAGTCCATCAAGGAAGAGAAGCAAGTGTTCCTCCATCCCCTTCCGGCGCCCCCCACCCTGCCACTCACAGGCCCTCCACCACAGGGAGCCTGGCCCTTAGAGGCTGCCAGGCTAGGCTCCTCGCATCGTCCAGGACCCACTTCAACGGGTGCCGCTGTCCTGAAACCCCATGCTTGACCACAGGGAACCACGGTGACCCACACCGTGGGAGAGATGAGGCAACAGAGGGGTGATGCCCAGACTTTGTCCAGAAGTTGGCCTTAGTTAGGGTGACTAATTTGTTGTCCAGTCAAGATGTGAAGGGGGTGTTATTAAAAATGCTGCCAAGAGAATAGGAGTGACCCAGGCCGCCCCGTCACCCTAGTCTTAGGAACAGGGTAGGGCAATGCAGGTGGAGGGAAACACGTGCAAAGGTCCTGAGGCAGAAGCTCCTCACCAGCTCAGTCCTGGCCCAGGTGCCTGGCTTCCCTCAGCAGCCAGACACCTTCTTCCCGTCAGCTTCACAGGGCCGGGGTGATTTGGGCCAGGTGTGCTTTGGGGGTGGGAGTGGGGTGCTGGGGGCAGGGAGTACCATCCAGGACCAGGACGGCCTGCTCTGTACCCTACCAGCCTGGCACTTTCCGTGGGGTGGTCTTTCACCATGGGAACAGCCTTGGACACTGTGACCTCCTCCACAGGGAGGACATCACCTACCGGCTGCCGGAGCTGGACCCGCGGGGCTCCGATGAGGAGAACCTGGACTCGGAGACGTCGGCCAGCACCGAGAGCCTGTTGGAGGAGCGGGCTGGGCGGGGGGCCTCGGAAGGTCAGTATTAAGGTAGCGTCTGCTTTTTTCCTTCCCATGTCCACCACCGCCGGCCCCGGGGCGAGGGACCATGTGCCGGCCCTGAAGCTGCAGTAACCCTGCCATCTGTCTCTCAAAAGGGCCCCCTGCGCCTGCTCTCCCCTGCCCCGGTGTACCCACCCCGAGCCCCCTCCCCGCGGCAGCCGCCCCTCCGCGACGAAGGCCGTCGTCCTTCATGACGGTCAGAGTGAAGACGCCCCGGCGGACCCCCATCATGCCCACGGCGAACATCAAGCTCCCACCTGGCCTGCCCTCCCACCTTCCCGGCCGGGCGCCGGGGCCCCAGGAGGCTGCTGCCCCGGTGAGACGCCGAGAGCCACCCGCCCGCCGCCCGGACCAGGTACACTCTGTGTATATCACACCCTGTGCTCACCTGCCCGCGAGGGGCGCTCAGGAGCCCCTGGACAAGGACGACCGGCCACCTGGGGCCAAGCGAAGGTACTCGGACCCTCCCACCTACTGCCTGCCCCCCACCTCGGGCCAGGCCAACGGCTGAGGGCCCACAGCCGCCTGTCCACATGTCCGAGGACAGCCCAGAGCCAGCATTCAGCTCGCCGAGAAGGATCCGGAATGAAAAGCTGCAAGAGCGATGTGGGAGGGAGCAACGGCTCCCAGTGCAGGGTCGAGGCCGGGAGAGGCCAGCTGAGGCTGGGCCGCCCTAGCTGAGCCTCCACGCTGCGCAATCGCGCCCACCCAGAGCATGGAATCACGGCGGGCCACCTAGCATCTCCCACCTCCCATTTTGTAATTTTTTACAGTAACTGTTTTTTTGTGCGTGGTTTACATAACTTTAAACTGTAACAGCCTTAACGGAAGACCAAATTGTTTTTTATATGTGTCTGTACGACCTTTTATATTAACGCGCTGCATCTCCTTTATAACCTGGACATGAGTCTTCAAAGCTAAGCCCACGCAGCCGCCACGCTTCAGAGGCTCAGCCCTGCGCTGGGAGCGCTCTGGGCGGTCCAGGGCCAGGACCCTGCACGAGGGGTTTAGACACTCGGGCCGCATGACCGCCTTTCTCTCTCTTGGACTCGTCCTCTGGCCGGGGTGCATTTGAGGGAGCGCCAGAGCCCTCCGTGGGGATCAAGGCTGTTGGCTGAGCCAGGACACAAAGGGGGGGGGGAGCAGCCTCCACCCGGGGTACCACAGACCTCACGTCCCAGGGAGGCTCCAATGTGGCCGTCATCCTCTGCCCATCCTGGACTCCAGAGGCTGGAGGAGGGCACCCTTGGCACTGCCCCCACCCCCCCCTACCCCCCACCGTGTGGCAGAACAGGAGCCAGCGACTCAGGACCGCTCACCGGCGGGGAGGGCAAGGCCTGTGTTGTCCCCCTCAGGTCAACAGTGGCAGCCTGGGGATCTCCAGAGGGATGCCCTCAGGTTTGGCCCACTCCCCAGGACACATGTATCCCCTGGACACATGACCACAGGTCTGGGACAAGAGGCACCCACAGCCGTGTGAAATAAAGACAAAGCGCCTGAGAGATTTGTGTGTGGCTCCTGCTCAAAACACTCCTGGTTGGAGGAGTGGGGCTTCGGTGGGGGTCCACTCTGCAGCCTCTGCCAAGAGGGGTGCAGGGCAGGGGGTTGTGCCCCTTGTCTGGAAGAACCTGCCTTGATCCTCAGCAAATGCTGCTGTTGGGATCTCCCACGTGCTCCTCACCTGGGCAGGTGGGCTTGTGGAGGTGCTTGCACGTTGACCTGGACACCTGGGGAGAGGGCAGCTCCTGCAGAGTGGCATTCAGTGACGGGAGCCTGCTGTCCTGGGGGCTGCCTCCTGTCGCCCTGTTTCAGCACCAGCCTCTCCTCAGCTGGGGCGTAAGCATCAGGTGCAGGGCCATGGGCCAGTGGGGGAGTCTGTTCCTGGTGGGCCGGCAGAGCCAGAGGCCCCCACACATCAGCCGCAGATGAGCTCCCAGACTGCGATCAGATGGGCAGGTGGGGGACGTGGCTCGCAGGTGGGGCCTGTGAGGGTGGGGTCAGGGGACCGTGAAGAACTTGAGTCCAGACGGCACATGCCAGAGGGTTGGGGGCTTGTCCAAGACCACACAGGTGCGGTGGGGTGGGGCTGGGGTTCAGACCCTGCCCATCTGCCTCTGGAGCCCCCTTTATCCATCCTGGGTTTGGCCTCCTCCGTGGTACTTTGCGAGGACATTAGGCACACCAGTGTGACCGGGACACCGGTGTCCTGAGGGCTGCATGCCAGGCTCCGATCCCGTGAAGCCTCCATCCTCACCGCGTCCACTCCAGGAGCGGGGCTCGTGGGACTGGCCTCGGCTTCCTGGGGACCTGGGTGGGCTGGAACTGGCTTCTCTTCACGGGGGTCTGAACGTTAGGGGTGACCCGGCCCCGCCTCCTGCTCGCAGGGCTAGTTCGTGTGCCCCTTGAGACAGGCACTGTCCCACTCCCCATTCCCCAAGGGAGGAAACAGGCCCAGAAACAGCGGGGGACGGAGTCTGGCGCCCGGAAGCTCACAACCGCAGAAGATTGGATGGGCCCCTAAGCCAGGCCAGGGCCTCTCCCCCGGAAGAAGTCGGGGAAGGCTGGCCGGATGCGCGAAACCTCAGTGTGGGAAGAATCCAGGCAGCAGTGGGTGTGGGGGAGGCACTTTGAGCAGGGGGAAAGGAATGAGCAAAGGACACGTTGTACGTGAGCCTGAAACCGCAGGACCTGGTCCTTTCAACCATTCCTGAGGGATAAGATGCTCTGGAGGAAAAGCAGGCGATTCAGCCCTGAGTAACTATGGACGAGGATGGCGCCTCTCCTTGAAATAAAACATTACTGCCACCCCAAAGAAAGATGGAACGGCGAGCGAGCTGAGCTCATCCAACCGGAAGGAAGCCAAATGAAGGCACTTCCGCCATCTCTTAAGATGGCGCCGGCGGAAGGGGCGAGGTAGCACCGTGGGGGTGATGGCAGCGTCGAGGCTGGAGCTCAACTTGGTGCGGCTGCTGTGCCGCTGCGAGGCGATGGCAGCGGAGAAGAGGGACCTGGACGAGTGGCGTCTGGAGAAGGTGGGAGAAGCCCGCGGGGCAGCGTAGAGCCTGACTCCGGGACAGTGGGCCCGGAGCTGGCGGCCACCGGTTCCGACTCCCCTGCCCCAACAGCCACCCTGGCCACGCCCCTTCCGGTCGGCTCCGCTACGACCACCTGCAGCTCCCGTCTCTGGGGTTCCGCTGGCCACGCCTCCTTAACGCTTGGCCCCTCCCACTTCCGAGCCCCGCCCCTTGCTGGCTCTGGCCCCTTTGAGCAGGATGGGAAGAAGTGGGGGGTGGGGGACCGGGCTGACACTCAGCTGTCTCTCCCCAGTACGTGGGAGCCCTCGAGGACATGCTGCAGGCCTTGAAAGCCCAGGCGAGGTGAGTGCCGGCAGCCACTGGGGTTTCAAATCCGGGGTGGGGGTAGAGCCTTGGGCTCCGGTCCCTGCTGGACCCTTCCCTGAACTGGGACTGTGGGCAGGTTTTCTTTGTCCTCTTCTCGCCTTCCAGCAAACCGGCCTCCGAGGTGATCAATGAGTATGCCCGCAAGGTGGATTTTCTGAAGGGGATGCTGCAGGCAGAGAAGCTGGTGAGCGGGGCCGGCCGCCTCCTCAGCCCTCCTCACCCCCAGGACCTGCCCCTCTGGTGACCCCTCATCCCTCTTCTTCAGACCTCCTCCTCCGACAAGGCACTAGCCAACCAGTTCCTGGCCCCTGGCCGCGTGCCCACCACAGCCCGGGAGCGGATACCTGCCACGAAGACAGTGCATCTGCAGTCACGGGCCCGGTACACCAGCGAGATGCGGGATGAGCTGCTGGGTGCGGTAGGACGCTCTCCTGGTCCCTGAGGGCCCTTTGGTCAGCGACAGGAGTTCAGGGCCTGGGGCTGGCCAGAACAACAAATACTGTCAGGTGCAGGGACCCTAAGGAGCCCAATAGCCTCTGCCCTGGGCCATCAGGGCTTGATAGATGAACAGGAGTCGGGTACAAGGCAAAAATGACGTGTCCGGTTAAGACAAATGTTTTCATCTGTAAAACAGGATAAGTGTATTTCTGAGCACTTTACGTGGATCAGGTAAACCCTTCACAACAGGAGCTGTTGGGCCAGCCCGGTGGCTTAGCGGTTAAGTGCTTGCGCTCTGCTGCTGGCGGCCCGGGTTCGGATCCCGGGCGCACACCAACGTACCGCTTCTCCTGCCATGCTGAGGCCAAGTCCCACATACAGCAACTAGAAGGATGTGCACTATGACATACAACTATCTACTGGGGCTTTGGGGGAAAAAATAAATAAATAAATAAAATTATACAACAGGAGCTGTTGTTACTGATTTATAGACTAAAAAACAGGCTCAGAGGTCATGAGACTTCCCCAGGGCTCTGACTGTGGGTGGGGAGTGTCTGCGAGCAGAAAGGACAGGTTTAGGGGCATGACAAAGTGGGTGACTTCATGCTCTCCCTTTTTGCCACAGGACTTTTCTGGAGGTGAGTCGGCCTGAGCAGAACAGGACTTGAGGCCCAGCTGCCTGGGACCAGACATGTGTCCTTGCTGCCCCCATCCCTGGTGCCTGGCCTCACTCCCACAGCCCAGGCAGAGTGTCCCTGGGGGTGTTACTGAGTTATGCCTGGAGTGGGGGCTAGGACAGAGGAGGTGGCCCCCAGAGGAAGCAAAGCTGGAAACTCCCAGCCCACGGGCCAAAGTTAGGCTGCAGGGAGGGACCTGGGGCCGGGGGAGAACCCCCTAGAAGAGAGCGCGTTTGAGCTCGAGCTTTGAGGCATGGTCAGGAGCCCAGCAGGCAGCAGACAGGACTGGAAAGGGCATTGTGAGTGGCAGGCCTGTGACGGGCAGTGGCCAGGAGGCTGGTCAACAGGAAAGCAACCCGCTCTCGTTTCTGCCGGGCCTGTTTCCCTGCAGAGCCCGAGCTGGACGTGCGGAAGAGAAGGTGAGTGTCCTCTGCCCTTGGGCAGCACTGGGGGGCGGGGGGCTGGACGAGCCTTGGGCCCCTGAGGCGCCACCATGAGCATCTAAACCGCCCATCAGAAGCCACTTCTGGGGGTGCTGTTCCCAGAAGCCAGAGCAAAGAAGGGGTAACTGAGCCCCAAGCAGGGCAGTGGCCGGAGCTATAACCTCTGGGCTCCTTGGGAACGTGTTGGTCTCTTCCCCTCCCCCACCCCACCTCGTGCCCACCTGCCCACCCATGTGTGGGGTCAGTGGGGTGGCAGGGCCCAGGCCAGGAAATGAAAAGCAGTCGGCAGCCGAGTTAGACCTCATCCTGCAGCGACACCAGGACCTCCAGGAGAAGCTGGCAGAGGAGATGCTAGGCCTGGCCCGGAGCCTCAAGACCAACACACTGGCCGCCCAGAGTGTCATCAAGAAGGACAACCAGGTGTGAGGAGTGTGGGAGCTTTGCAGCCTCTGTCCTGGGGCATCAGAGAAGGTTTCCCAGCAGAGGGGCATTGTGGCTGGGGCTTGGCTGGCTGGAGTTTGGTAGAAAGCAAGAATGGCATTCTCAGCAGAGGAAACAGCACCAACAAGGGCCGAGAGGTGCAGACTTGCTGCAGGGTGGTAGGGAGAGGCCACACTTGGCCCCAGTCCTGTTGATGCTCTCCCCACCTCACCTGCAGACCCTGTCACACTCACTCAAGATGGCTGACCAGAACCTGGAGAAGCTGAAGACAGAATCAGAGCGGCTGGAGCAGCACACACAGAAGTCGGTCAACTGGCTGCTCTGGGCCATGCTTATTATAGTCTGCTTCATCTTCATCAGCATGATCCTCTTCATCCGGATCATGCCCAAACTCAAATAAAGACCTGGCCCAGCCCCCCTTGTCCATCTGTCCTCTGTCTGCCCTCCACCCTGTCCAGGGTTGCCCTTTGGGGTGGGCAACAAGATGGGAGGGTCTTTGGAGGTTCTCAAGAGGCACAGAGACTGCATGAGCCGGGGAGGAAGAAGGTCAGGCTGGGAGGAGGGTAGTGACTCAGCATCCCCCTCCCCTATTTCCCCCTGTTACCACCCCACAATGGACAAGGCCGGGCCCCAAGAAGCCCCAGGAGCCCCCAGTCTGGTATAGTGGAAGCCAAACTCAATGCCTTCAGCCCTGTAGGGTCAGAGTGGGGCCATGCCTGGAGGTCAGCCTGGAGGAGGAGGTATCGGTGCTGGGCCTTCCTTGGGATTAAAGGTGATAATTCAGAGACAGGTCTTAGCCCCGCCACAGCTCTCAGGAAACCACAGAGCCTTCACCCAGTCATTCGCCAAACACCTGAGGGTCTGTGGAGGCCCTACCCTGCCCAGGTCATAGTCTGATCATTTCAGATGAGAACTGGCTGGGCACTGGAGTTGGGACCCTGGAAGTGGAGTGGGAGTCCCAGGAGAGCCACTGGTCCTGGGCTTACCCCACTCCAGACAGTGTGGCAAAGCCCATGATGGGTGACTGAGGGAGCGCAGTGAGGGAGGGTGGGCAGGGGACAGGTGCATGGGGGTGTCTGTCACAGGCTCGGAGGGTGAGCGGGCACTGTGGGACCCCATCAGCTCAGGTGCAAAACCACCAGATAGAGCTTTCTGTAAGCTCTAGTGGCAACTTTTAAAAAACAGATCAGAAGAAGGCTGACATCTGAGATGCCAAGATGGTGCAGTTTTAGGAAGCCTGTCAATAGCTACATTAAGGCATCAGAAAACAAAATCGTAGGCAGGGTCTAGAGGGTGAAATGGGACTTTGTACCGTTCAGCATCTGTTACTCAACATCTCTTAATAAACAATAAGGAATAGATGGATATTTTCCTCATTTAACTGAAAAATCTCAAGCTAAAGACAGCCTTGAGTTTAATGGGCAAATACTGGAAGTTCTGCCATCAAAGTGAGGAAGGGGGAGGGATGCCCAAGGTCCACCCACCTTCCCAGTGATTCCACAGTCTAGAGGTGCTAGTCGATGCAACTGGACAAAAAGAAATGAGATTGGAAAGTAAGAAAAGAGGCAAAATTATTTGCAGATGATACAACTGTCTATATGAAAGACCCAAGTAAACCAACTGAAAAGCTATTCCAGTAGGAGAATCAGTAAACTGGCAAGGAACTTAATGAATATTTAAATTAGTTTCCTATAGGCAAAAAAAAAGCACTGCAAAATATATTGGAAGATCTAACTTATAATAGCAGCCAAAAAGACATACTACCTGAGTAAACTAACTTCCTCAATATATGAAGATCTCCTAAAAATCAACAAGAAAGAAAGAGTTGCAGGAAATAAGCAAGAAAAGAAATATAAATGGTTTCTAAACTTTTTCACTCACCAGATTAGGCAAGATGTAAAACTTCGAAAATACGCTTGTGGGGAACTGATAACATCGGGGTTGCAAAGGTTGTGGGAAAACCAGCATTTGTCTCTGCTGGTCAGAACATCAATGGCATGACCTCACTGAAGAACAACTCGACAGTACCTTTCCAAATTAAAATGCACAGTTTCCTTTGCCCAGGGAATTACACTTCTAGGGATTTATCCGACATAATTCTCCCACAAGTGGCCAAAGAAATTTGCATGTGAATACTTTTTGCAGAGTTGTCTGTAGTGAGGAAAATATTTATATTTGCTTGTCATTTAATTAAGATCTTTCCAGAAGGAGACACAATTAGCTGCTGCCTCTGGGGCCAGGAGTGGGTGAGAAATTCACTTTTGCCCTACGCGTCATTTCTAGTGTTTGAATTCTCTAAACAAGGCTCAGGTGATTAATCAAATATTTTAAAAATATAATTGCTGGGGCCCGCCCAGTGGCATAGTGGTTAAGTTCACACGCTCCACTTCCACGGCCTGGGGTTCGCCAGTTCAGATCCCAGACGCGGACCTACAGCACTCATGGAGCCAAGGTGAGGCAGCGGCCCCCACAGAAGAGCTATAATACTACAACTATGTACTGGGGCTTTGGGGAGAAAAAAGAAAACAAAAAAAAGGAAGATTGGCAACAGCGCAGGGCCAATCTTCCTCAAAATAAATTTTTTTTCAGGAAAAAACCATATATATAATTGCTGAGCAAATAGATAAGTGCAAGTTCGCCAAAACCAGCGGCTTTTCAGACAAATTTAGAGTCAGAGACGTTGAGTCGCCGGCCCCAAACACACAGCAGGTCTCAGTCTCCGCCCCACGCGAACCTGGCTTCAAGGGTGTGGGTCCGCTTTCGCTATGGCCAGGCCCCGCCCCCGCTCCGCCAACCACGCCCCATCCCTCCAGGCCCCGCCCCCGCCTTGCGCCCGACCCCGCCAGTTGGGTCCAATCTTGCAGTTAATGCACAGCCCGGACTCCGGCGCCTCTCCGGGAGCGGACCCAGGCTCGGAGCCTCGGACGCTGGGACAGGTGACCCCGGGCGGGAGCGGTCCGTGCGGCCCGCAGCCGGGACGGAGGTCCCGGGGGGTTTCTCGGGGCGGTGTCCGAGGGCTCCGCGCGCCCCAGCGGGCGAGGCTGCGGCAGCGCAGGGGTTAACGTGAGCCAGTCCGGCACGTCGCGGCTCATTTGCATAGCGCCCTTCCGGGTTACGCAGCCAGGGGCGGGGCGCCCTGAGGGCCAATCGCGTGCGTCTATGCAAATAGAGGTGGAGCTGGAGAAGGCGCGGGCGGCTTCTGGAGAAGGGTTGGCGGCTCCGGGCCCGCCTCCAGGCGCGTCGTCCTCCGTGTCCGCAGGCCGCCCGCCGACCACGCCCGCCACGCGCGGGCCACCACGCCCCGCGCAGCAGCCGCCCGCCGCCCCGGGGACGCCCGAGCGGCTGCCCCCCGAGACCGATGCCCGCCCGGAAGCCCCCGGAGACCCCCGGCTCCCCGAGGGCCCTGCAGACCCTCCCGCCCGGCCCTGGGCCCCCGGTGAGTCTGAACGAGAGGAAGGTCCCCAGGCCGAGCCTAGGCCGAGGCTTCATTTTCCCCCAGTTTGAGGGATCCCGGCTTCCCGATTCTCTCGTTAACTCCAAACCATGATTCCTACGGCGTCTGCAGCGACTCGAAACCAGCGCTCGCCGCCCTCTGTGCCAGCCCCAGCCAGGGGCCCACAGGGCAAGGCCCAGGAAGATTGTATTTGAGGATGAGCTGCCCTCCTGGGCCCTTCTGGGCCCCAAGAAGTCTACTGGAACCATCCCTGAGAGGCATATGCCCAGGCCCCACCCAGTGCCCGACTATGAGCTGTGAGTGTCCCCTATGTGGTTCCTGATGCTTGGGAACAGGGAAAGGGCACTGAGGCTGGGGTTTTAACAAGTGAATAAGAGTTTACCAACTAGTAAAAACAGAAAAAGGGCATTTTGGGCAGGGAGACCAGCATGGGCAAAGAAAAACAAATTACACTGATGGGGGACAGGCAGGGGCTCTTTATACTCACACTCTGACCCCATTTCAATCCCAAAGTAAGTATCCACCAGTGAGCAGTGAGAGGGAGCGGAGCCGCTATGCAGCAGTGTTCCAGGACCAGTACACAGAGTTCTTGGAGCTCCAGCAGGAGGTGGGCTCTGCACAGGCCAAGCTCCAGCAGCTGGAGGCCCTGCTGAACTCACTGCCCCCGCCCCGAAGCCAGGTCAGCAACCAGCTGGAAACACCTGCCCCACAGCCCTTCCGGGTGGCCGGACCCTGGCCTCTGGGACACCCCCTGGGTCCAGATCTCCAGGCCTCTTCCTCCTCCGGGCTGGGCGGGCACCGTGGCACATGGGCCAAGGTCAGTCCTTGAGGTCCTCCTATACGAGTCACTTTGTCTAGCTGAGCCTCAGTTTCCCCATCCCTTTTTGGGTATCATCCTTCCTGGACCCCCCTCTTCCTTCTCCGCTTGCAGAAGGAAGCCTGTGTCGCTGCCCGCGTCTGGAGGGAATTTGAGAAGAAAGAGACGGTGAGTCCCACGTCCTGAGTCCCACAGCCTGGCCTTTGCCCCCCTGAGCCTCCTGTGAGACGGGGACACTTGTGCCCAGTGTCAAGGAAAGAAAATAAGCTCAGAGAGGAAAAGGCAAAAGATCGAATAACTTGAGGGCTGTAGGCCAGACTGCCACAAGGACGTCCCTGGTCTCTCCCTGCCCAGGACCCCAGCTTCCTGGACAAGCAGGCTCGCTGCCGCTACCTGAAGGGCAAACTCAGGCACCTCAAGATGCAGATCCATAAATTCGATGACCAAGGAGACAGTAAGGGGTCTGTGTACTTCTGAGCGTCCTGCACGCAAGCAGAGGGGCACAGCAGGGTGGAGGTCCCACTCTGCCTGGCTTTTCCTCCCTGCTCCAGGCCTTAGCCTTGCTGTGCCCCCTGCCTGATTGCAAACGCCTCAGCCTTTGAGGTTCAGCTCTGATGGCCCCTCCTCCAGGAAGCCCTCCCAGGACCTTTTTCAGGAGCAACAGCCCTGACCCCATGGCGCCCCCAGGTCTCAGTCAGTCCTCTGGAAGCAGGGCCAACTTTCCATCCCAGTGGAGTAAACATTTATTAAATACCTACTCATGATTTCACTCCATTGTCACCAAAAATCTGTTCTTCCATTTTCTAGAGAGAAAAAATCAAGTTTCCGAGAAAGGGACTTGTCCAGGGTCTCTGGGCGGGGTGTGAACCCGTGTCTGTCCAGGGGGGCTCCCTCTCCCCCAAGAGCGTCAAGTGGCTTTCTGGTGGGAAGCTAAGGGGCCAACCTCCAGCATCCCGTCCTCGGCCGGGCGTCGGGTGGGGGAGCCCCGGGGCCAGGAGTTTCTGCAGGTCTAGTAATGGGGGCGAGACGGGCAGAGGGCCCTAGAGTCTTGTGGGGCCGCGTTGTGGAGAATTCATGTGGCACGACGCTGGGGACCGCCTGAGGTGGTGGGCTCAGCCCAGGAGCCTGCAGGAGGCCCTGCGCCAGCCCAGGTAGATGGGCCCCCACATCCTCCACTTCTCCCCCGCGCTGCAGGCTGACCCGTGATTGATGCCGGCGCTATGGGAGCACAGTTCACATGCCTGGGCCTGGGGGAGGGGCCTTTGGTGTCCACCCAGTGCCAGGCCCTGGGTGGGTGGGGCCACGTGATGGTGGACCAGCAGCTGCCCTCCTTGAGGCTTGGCCTCCCAGGGGAGCCACAGGGAGGCAGACTGCAGGCGGGGAAGGCAGTGCCAGCCACTGGGTCCCAGAGAGGCCTCGGTCCAGGATCCATCCTCGTGGAGTCCCTGTCCCCGGGAAAGACAGCCCTGGGCCAGGTGCGGCAGAGCAATAACAGAGGGCTGGACCGCAGGGTCTAACAACCAGGAGGCTCAAGAGGTCTCCTTGCAGGGGCAGTACAGGTAGAGTTTGTAGGAGAAGCAGGTCGGCAGTCAGGCCGGGACAGACATCCCAGACTCCGGCCTGGGGGCTGGAACGTTCTTGCTAGTCCTCAGATGTCCTGTGAATCTGAGAAAGGGAGCATTGGTGTCCAGCCCAACTGGAGTGGACATATATTCACTTACCCACAGGACATCTTGGAAGATGCTGACCCAGGGCAGAGGGCAGTCCAGCCTCCAATAGGAGCCCTGCGGCCTCTCCATCCCACTCGCACCCAGTCCCCTTCTGGGTGCAGGGCGCACCCACGAGACCCTCCTTCATTCCACGGGAAGCAGCCTCACCCCCCCAACCCTCCCCACCGCCCCCTCTTCCCAGGCCTCCTCCGAGATGGACATGTGGGAGGCTGGGAGTGCTAATGGGGAGAGCATTTTGAGGCCTGGGACTGCCTTCAGGGCTGAGTGCCAGCCCTGACTGCAGGGTGACACCCAAGTTCTTCTCTCTGCTTCAAAAGGGCATCTTTGATGGACAGCTTGTCTCTGCCTGGCAAGACCTCAGTCAGGACCAAGAGGTGCCACCCCACCACCACTATCCCAGCCTTTTTTTTTTTTTTTTTGCTGAGGAAGACTGGCCCTGAACTAACATCTGTGCCCCTCTTCATTTTTTTTTTTTTTGTATGTGGGATGCCACCTCATGGTAGCTTGATTAGCGGTGCATAGGCTGGGATCAGAACCTGCAAACCCTTGGCTGCTGAAGCAAATTGTGTGAACTTAACCACTGCGCCACTGGGCCAGCCCCCATCCCAGCCTTTTTTACCCACCTCCAGGAGCCACAGTCCTGGCCATGACTCCCATAGGTGCCCTTCCCACTGCAGAGCTGGGGCACAAACTTCCGAGGCCAGGATGGCAGGGTTCTTGGTGACCTGCACCACCCCATATCAACTCCATTAAATCCATGTTTCAAAGTCTATCCTTAGAGGTCCTTGCCTTCCAAATGCCAATCTCAGAAACCGTCAGGAGTTTTTTAGTTACATGGGAGAAGAAATCAAACTGGCTCAAGCGCAAAAGGGGAAGTCTGGGCTCATGGAACTGAAACATCTGAGAGTTCCAGGTATGGCTTGATCCAGGGGCTCCAAAGGCATCTTTTGCCTCTGCTTTGCTTTGATTATATCCTCCTAGTTTCAAATCCTGCCACTGTCTGTCACTGGCCACCTCTGGGCCTCCAGGAACGAAGCACTGTGGCCAGAAGAATGGAGGGCTCTGTCTGGGCTGAGAGCATGCAACAGAACTAGCCCCAGATGTTTCTCCGAGGACACTGGAGCCCAGACACCATGATTAAGGGCTAACCAAAGAAAACAATAAGGTGTTTGGTCCAGGGCATATGTCAGTCTATGAGGCTGACTCTCCTAGGCCAGAGCCTGAATTTGAACCTTAGTCATCTGCTGGGCTGAACTCCTGTGGACTCACCCCCTGACCTCAAGCCCCACACCCTGCCCCCAGCCTCAGTTTCCCCACAAAAACTGCTTAACACAAACAACAAGGAGGGCTCTTGTCAGGCTGTGGGCGTTCTGGACGGCTGGGAGTGGGTACTCCCCGTGGGGCGCCCTCCACCCACCCTCCCCTCCCAAGGATGACGGGGCGTGCAGGTAGGAAATGTCTTTATTGTCGGCCTCCATTCATTCATCAGGCAGTGTCCGGGGATGACATGTCCAGAGGCTCTGCCTGTGCACCCCACGCTGGCCTGGCTACGGCCGCCCCTCCAGGCCAGATGCCAGGCTTCTGTCCACCACACCAGGGAGGCCGTCCCCACAAGTTCCCCAGGACTGGACCCTCAGTCCCACCCCGCATCTTGGCCAGGGGTTCCGGGGGGGACAAAGCTGGAGTCTAGACGATCAGTTTCTTTTTGGCTTTGTGATCGTTTGAAAAACAGAAAAAACAAACATTTCACAGTCTTTAAAAAACAAGAGTCTGAGAAGAAAAGCTGGGGTGCTCCGCCTGGGGGCCCCCTTGAGGCCCAGGCTTCCGTATCCCTTGAGGTCACCAGACCAGGCCGCGGCGCCCAGGCCCTGGCTGGTCACTGGCCCGAGCCGTAGGGCCAGCTGAAGGTACTTCCTGACAGCAGCATGTCTCGGATCAGTGTCTCGATGGGCGTCTTGCCCACCAGGCGCATGAAGAACAGCTGGGAGATGAGGGAGGCGGGCACGGCACGCAGGGCGGGCAGCCGCAGCAGCAGGCGCCCGAAGCGCTGGGGCTGGGACGGGTACTGGGCCCGCACGTACTCGGTGAGGGCCACCTGCGCCTTCTCCTGCAGGCTCTCCACGTGTGCTGGGTCCGAGAGGCCACAGGCATCTGGGGGGACAAGGGTAAAGTGAGACAAGGGTGGGAGGTGGTGGGAGGATGCAGGGCCCCAGGGGTGCCTGGGGGCACCACTCAGTGTAGGTACGGAAGGAGGGGGCACTCAGGAGGTGGGATATGGAGCTGGGGCACGAATGGGAAGATCTAAGGCAGTGTCGGTCCTACAGATACCGAGGGGGGGGCCTGATCTGAGGACAACGACACGGGTGCAGGCAGTGATGTCTCAAGGGTGGACAGGACCCCGACTGAGGCTGCGGCAGGAAGACAAGTTCTACCCAAGCTCAAGGGGAAGCGGGGGCTGGGGGAAGGCAAAGCCCAGAGTGGGTATTCAGACATCCCAGAGGGGCCTGGCTGTGAGTGAACGGCACAGCTCTGAATGGGGCCCAGTGAAGGTGGAAGGCAAAGAGAAGCTTCTGGGAAATGAGGAGGGGCAAAGACATATTCCTCAGATGGAAGCCACCTCCCAGAGGCCTGGGTCTGGTTCCTGCATCCCGGGCCCCAAGGAGACGCCTCGTGGGGTCTGGCGCCTTCCGGAGCGCAGAGCCAGCCGGCCACCAGTCCCTGGAACCAGGTAGGGCTTTGGCCGCCGGCCAGTCGCTACAGGCAAGGGAGGTATTAGGAGAGCCCCGCCCCTCGACGGGAGGGGCCGCCAGGCCACGCCCCCACCTAGCGCAGCCCTAGCTGCCAGGACGCCACCCTGGAGGCAGGTTGGGGGCCCTGGTCCGAGGTCTGGGGGCCCGGGAATCGGAGTGGGGCCGCCTCTGCCTGGCACCCCCCGTGAGAGCAGGAAGAGAACTCTAATTCGGCGCATGAGGGTCAGAGGATTTAGGAAGGGCAGAGATCAAGGAGTGGAGGCCAGAACCAAGTGTCAGGAACCCCCCTTCCCTCACTCCTCACTCTGCTGTCAGTGCTCACTGAGCAAGAACAGCACCTTGATGAGGGGCGGCGGCTGGGGGTCTCGGGGAGCCTGGGAATCAGGGGGAGAGGCTGTGGGGACCTGACTCACGGGTCCAGAGCCAGCCTTAGCTCTGGGGGGCCGGGCCCCGAGTTCTTAGGGACTCTGGGGTCCTGCATCACCGCCGTCACCTCCTCCCTCCACTGCCCCCCCTCAGCGTGCTCAGGGCGCAGGTGTGGCCGGCTGAGGGTGGGGCGTGGGGGCCGGGGCAGGGTCTAGGGCGCCCCCATTCGCGCGCCTGCCTCTCACCGGGCGTGAAGAGCGCGATGGCCTTGAGGCAGCCGTACTCGGCCGAGTCGACCTGCAGGCGGCCCAGCTTGTCCACCTGCTCCTGGAAGGCGCGCACCTGGTCCATGAAGGCCACGGCGCGCTCGGCGGCCATGGGCGCGGCGTGGAGGCCGGCGGCGGCCAGCAGCGGCGCCGTGTGCAGGGGCAGCGCCGCCTGCGCCGCGTTCAGCACGAAGAGCTCGCTCCAGCTGAGGCGCAGCAGCGCCACCTGGTCGGCCACCGGCAGCTCGGGGAAGAAGGGCGCGTGGCGCGCCCACTCCACCGTGCTGAAGAGCAGCCGCGCCGCCAGCTCGCACACGTTGTCGATGCCCAGCACCGCGCCCGCGGCGCCGGGCCCCGCGCCGAAGCGCCCGGCCGCCGCAGGGTAGGGCTCGGCGCGCAGCAGCTGCGCGATCAGCTCCGACACCGGCTGCCCCGGGAAGAGGTCTCCGCCCGCCGCCGCCGCCAGCGCCGAGCCCGGGGGGCTGCCGGAGGCGGCGGCCACGGCGCCCGGCAGCGAGTGCGGGATGCGGCCGCGCTGCACCGCTGCGAGGGGAGAGAGGGGCACGGGAAGGGAAGGGAAGGGAAGGGAAGGGAAGGGAGGGAGAGGAGAGCACGGAGGGGAGGGAAGAGCGCGCCCCCCCCACGCAGGAAATGGGGAAAGGACAGGAGACGGGGGAGAGGAGAGGGGATGGGGGGGCAGGAGATGGGGGAGGGGAGCGGCGGAAATGGCCACAGGAGAGGGAATGACGGCCAGGGGAGGACCAGAGGAGAGGGCGGGGTGTCAGGAAGAGAGAGGGGCAGGGAAGGAATAAGGGGAAAGTGGGCACCCGGAATCGGGGGGGAGGGAGGAATAAAGGGGGGAGACAGTCATTAGAGGGCCACTCAGCCCCTCCCCTCCAAGGCCCCCAGGCCCAGCCTTTCCCTGGACCCGCCACCCCAGCCCATGGACGCAAGCTTGCTGGGAGACCAGGGCCTCCAGCCTGAGCCCGGGCCAGCCACAACCCCCACCCCCATCTGGGGGTAGAGAAGGAGCATGGCGGGTGGAACCTGGACCACTGGGGGAGGACTAATTTAATTCACACCTGGCCCCTCCCACTGGACTGTGTGAGTTCTGCTCAGCAGCCATGGAGGCTGACCTGTCAATCATGTCCCCATCTGTCAATCATGGGGGGGCCAGAAGTGAGACTGAGGCTGGGGAGAGGGCACCTTCCTAGGACGTGGGACCCCAGGCCAGCCTATCCCTAAAACAAGTGATCAATACCAGCGGGACACTGACCTCACCTGTGGAGGTGGGGTCATTTCTCTACCCCGCAGCCCCACCCCGCCGGCCCTCAGGAGCAGGTCTCACATCTGGGTCCCTCCCACTACCCCAGTGCTGGGTGCAGAGTCCTGGCCCACAGTAGGTGCTCAGTAAACATTAGCGGCCTCAAGCCTTGCTGTGAGGGGAGGAGGATCCACTGCTGGCCTTGGTCAGTGTCCCCGGTGACCCAGTGAATAGGCAGAGGGAAACTGAGGCACAGAGGAGGAGGAGTGGCTGCATGCCCATCCAGCCTGTGCCAGGGTGGGCCCAGTGCCAGGCAGACTAATGAATGAACTCGAATGAGCTGGCATGCCCTGTCTCATCAGCCCATGAACTTCTGGTCAACCCACCACAGAGTAGATGGGGAAAGGGATGTGGGTGGGAGCCATGGGCTGGCAGAGCTCAGAGGGGAAGCAAGGCCTTGGGCTGAGCCTGCTCTGTGTGACTTCTAAGTCTCAGGATCAGCTGTCAAAAGGGAATGGCTGGATGAGGCCAGAGTGAATCCCAGTTTGACCCCTGGCTCTCAGGGATGGGGGGAGCTTCTCCTTCCCCCTCTGCTCACTGGGTTCTAAACCCCACCTCACCATCCCTCCATCCCCCAGTCACGGTCCCACCTCAGGGCCTTTGCACCTGCTGTTCCCACTCTGAGCACCAGCGCTTCCTCCTCCTCCTAGTTCAGCCCAGACTGTGCACGTTCAAGTCCCAACCACAACTCTACTGCTCTCTGACCCTGCAAACGGCCTCCCCTCTCTGCGCAGTTCCCCATCAGTAAAATGCCAATGATGACAATGATAATAGCGATGCTGACACCAACCGCTGAATTAGGCGCGACTCTACTAACTTGCTTGGTACTTAGTAAGGCCTAAACAGATAGTCATTCAAGCCCACAGACATTTATCGAGCACGTGCTGTGTCCCAGGTCCTGGTATGGGCACCAGGGATATGTCAGAAAACAAGATAGACAGGAGACCTTGGCCTCAGGGAGCGCACATTCTGGTGGGGGAGCAAGTAAGTCAGAGAGCAAGGCAGATGGTGTGAAATAAAGGGAAACAGTGAAGGGTAATCAGGAGGGCTTCTCTGAGGAGACGGTGTTTGAGCACACTGTAAAGGAGGTGAGGGAGGAAGACTTGAAGGTATCTGGGGGAAGAAGGCTCCAGGCAGAGGAATCAGCCCATGCAAAGGCCCTGAGATAGAACTGTGCTTTGGGGCATGAGCTGAGATTATGATCGTTTCCACCCCTGAGACTTTGGCGATCTGAAGCTCTGATTTAAGTACAGCAGGATTTTAGGTCAAATGGACAAATGGAAGCAAAATCCAGGTTGTAGGGGGTGGGGCGGGGGCAGGAGAGTTGCCCCAAACTTAAAAGGATCAAAGGCAGTGATCAGATGGTTTTAAGAGGAAGACGCTGAGCAGCCATTCCCAGCTTCTTCCCCAGAGACTCAGCAGAGAAGAAACCAACTTTAGAACAGGAGAGACTCAGGTTACACCTGGGGAAGAACTGCCAGCCTGGCAGTGAGAGTCCAGGCAGGGACATGAAGCCCAGCAGGGGGATGCTGCCCCGGAGCCCCCGGGGTTCCTTGTGGAAGTCTCTGGGCTCCACTTGAATTCTAAGGGTGTCTGGTTGAGTTCTAGGCCCAGCTGCCCAGTATGTGTCTGCCCACGTCCTGGGCAGGGACAGGGGGCTGGCCTCCCTCTGGCTCCCGTGGTGCCGGGTCAGGCAGAGGGAAGCTGCCCTTTGCCTTGCTCGGGTGAGCTCTTGCCCTGGGCAAACACGAAGCTGGGGGGGGCGGGGGTAGGGGACAAAAGCAAATCAAAAAAAAAATAGATCCTTGTTCAGAAAGCAGTAGCCAGGCACGGGGGTCACCAAGGTGTCAGGGCCAGGGAGCCTGCCTCTGGGGCCGGGGAGGAGGGGCCGGGGGCCAGAGAGCAGTCCCGACTTGGGTGGCTGGGTGCCCTCGTGTCCCCGCCCGCCCACCGCAGCCACCAGGCACCGGGGCTAATTGGATCCTGCAGCCCAGGCCACAGCAAGGCCGGACCTCAGACCGCGGGTAACGAGGTTGGCGGGCGCCAGAGCCCGCCCTCCCCAGCTCCCAGGCCCCCGGCGGGAACTCACCCTCCTTCCTCATGCCCACCCGGAAGCACTTCTTGAGGCGGCAGTACTGGCACTGGTTCCGGTGATGCTGGTCGATCTGGCAGTCACGGTTGGACCTGCGGGCACTCAGAGGTCACCGTGAGGGTCACCTTGACACCCACATCCTGCTCCCAGAGCCACTATGAAGGAGGCACCTGAGAAACACCACTGGGGGCACCCCTGGGCTGGGGAGGTGACCTCAAAGGGGCACAGGGGCTAAGTCTGCAGATTTGCAGAGAGGAAAGAACAATCAGGGTGGGTGGTGACGGATGCACAGGAGTGTGCGGCAAAGCAGATTAGCACACCAGGGAGGGCGTGTTGGAACTGGGTTTTGAAGGATGAACAGAAGTTCCCCAGATGATCGGAGAGAGCAAAAAGTTGGAAATTTGAAAACATGGAGACCTAAACAGTTTCATTTAACTTGGTCACTTTCAGGCTACGGGGCGGGGTCTCTGTCCCAAGAGCAATGTGAGAGCAGAGAAGGAGCACAGTCAGGAAGCAGGGCTCTGCGAGTTGACTGAGAGGCTAGGGGCCAGGCCAACGTCCTCTACAGGGTCACAGCACTGTGGGGCCCGGCATTACTGCCCAGCACAATGCCACCACCAACGAATGAATGAATGAACGAATGAATGAATGAATGCCCGTCACCCCCTTTAAGACCCCACACCCACATCCCCTCCTCTGGGAGGACCTTCCAACTCCTAACTAAGCCTGAGAAGCTTCCTCTGGGTGGCCCTTGGGGGATCATTATTGCCTCTCCCAGCTGGCCCCACCCTGCAAGGCAGTGAGCTCCCCGTCCAGGGTCAGCCCCAAGCAGGAAGGTTCAGGCCTGTGTTCTTCACATGTCCCCAGCACCTTTTCCCCTTGGCCCCTGGCCCTGTGCTCCCTCCGTCTCTCTCTCCACCCCCACCTCGGAGCTCTCCACACCCCAGCCTGGGGCAGACCCCCCTGGGATGCCAGGAGGGCACCAGAGGGTGCCAAAGACAGTCAGAGAGAAACCCCCAACCAAGTGAAAACCCAGACAGGGCTCAGCTGCAGACCCTGCCCCAACCCTCGCGTAGCCACTTCTCCCCAGGCGCCACCAGTTCCCCGTCTGGAAATGTGAGGCGAGATGCCAGCTCATATCTGGCATGCCCCGAGCCAGGGAATCCAGGGGGTGAGGTGGGGTGGGGTGGGGTGGTGGCAGCTGGGGGACCTCGTCAGGACCCAGACCCTAGCGGGGGGTCCCAATGGCAGGTTTAGGAGAGCCGAGGCTCCGGGGGGCCTCCAAGGGCCCGGGGCCGCAGCACCAGCCTCTGAGACCAAGCCTCTGCTCCCTGCCCGGCCCGAGTCCCCAAGAAGAGGCCCTGCTAGGGCAGAGAATGCTCAGGCAGAACCAGAACAAAGCCCAGCAAGCAGGCAGAGGGAGGGTCCTGGGCAGCCCGGTAGAAATGGCCAAGCCTGGGGTGGGTGGTCAGGTGGGCAGCCAGGGACCTGGCTCAAGGCCCTCTGACCTCACGGGAGGCCCTGAATCTTCTGCCTCTACTTCCCCAGCTGTGGAGTCAGGAGAGATCTCCTGTCCTTCCAGATGGGAAGTTCTGCCTGTGATCTCACCTAAAGAGCACATGCTTTGCCCAACTCTGTGGCTCAACTCAGCCTCCTCCCCGGACTCCTGGCCTCCAGTCCAATTTGATCACAACCCTCCGTTGCTCGCACACTCTCCATGGCTCCCCGTCATCCTCAGTCCAGCATTTCAGGCCCCCCGGGCTCTAACTTCTCCCACGCCCATATTCTACAACACCGCTCCCCGGACCTGCCACTAAGTGTGTGCTGGGCCACGCTCTCTGCAGGAGAACTCATCACCTCCCTCGACCTGCCAAACCCCTCAGGCTTCAAAGCCACCTCTGTGGCCCCCTCCAAGCAGCCTTCCCTGATCCTCAGGCAGAGCCCCTTGCTCCCTCTTGGAACCCCAGACTCCTCCCTTTCTCTGGCCGAGCCCAGACCACAGGCGGGGGGCCTCTGCGTGTCACTGTGTCTCCTCCAGACTAGAAGAGGGTGCACTTGGAGCTGGGATCTCTCTGGGGAACCACCCCAGGCTGAGCCCTGACCAGACTCTGCTGAATCAATCTGAGACTCAGAGAGAGACAGTGACTTCACCAGGTCACACAGTGCAGTGCTTCTGAAGAATCTGCCAGCCCCAAACAATGCCACCACCTTCCCCGCCCTGGTGCTCCCTGCCCCCGCCCTCAGGGAGCCCCTGGGACCCCGAAACCGCCTGAGTGCCCCCCTTGCCCTCCCTAAAGACCCAGCCAAAGAACAGGCAGCTATTCCAGCAGCAAGAATGAGGCCAAAGTTTGCTGGCCCAGTTAGCGCTGGAGGAGAGAGCTCGCCAGCCCCCCGCCCCCACATACACCACACATGGCCACCCCAGACAGGCCCTGACCCTGGACCTGTGGCCAAACTCCAGCCACAGCTGCCCCGCCTGGTGGCCTTGCCAACAAGCCCTCCATCAGCAGCTCTCCCTGGGGACGTTCCTCTTCCCAGCCCCACTGTTCCCCCTGCTAAGCCCCAGCTGGGGCACAGGCTCTCCTCCTCCTGCCCTAGGGCCGGTGCCAGGACCTCTCCAAGCCTCAGTTCTGCCCATCTGGAAAATGGAACTCCCCATATTGGCTCTGCAGAGCCATACATGTTCATGGGGAACAGAGCAGTGCCTTATCAATGCAGCAGACTGACGCTCACCAAAAAGGGGTGGGAGAGCGACGCCAGGGGTGGACACCCAACCCCAGCACCTTTTCCAGGGCATCTAACGCCCCAGAACCAACCAGAGAGGTTGGCAAGGCCACGCCCTGTCAGCGGGGACTGCAACCCAGGACAGCCCAGGGCTCCTTCTTGGGAGCACTCACGCCCACCCTGTCTTAAAGCTATCGAAGTTCCAGGGATTTCCAGGAGCCTCAGGTCTGCCTCCACTCTAGCCCGGGGTTGAGGAGCAGCCCAGATGCAGTCAGATCCAGCCGCCCTCCCAGTCCTCCCAGCGGCAGCTTCCGGTGACCCAAGGCCCAGGGTTAGCCCAGGGGGGTTCCCCCTCGATGGGCAGACCCAGCTCCACCCCACAGCAGGGACCCCCATGCGAAGGAGGCCGAGGGGAAGGAGGCCGCCCTGTGCCAGCCCAGCGTCGCTCCCGCCGCCGCCTCGGTGGCCAGGGCGACTTTGGAAGTGATATTTGACCCCAAGGGCGCGCCGTATCGATCCTCGCGGCCGCAGACAATGGCCCCTGGACGCTTCGAGCTCCACAGTCCAAGTTCCACGTTCGATCCCCGCGAGGGCCCCCGCGCGCTGCGATCCCCAAGAGAAACGATGCCCTGGGGTTAGGTTGCCACTCCTGACAGCACCCCCAACCCCTCCCCGCGCGGAGATGACCCCTCTCCCGAAAAAGAGAGAGGAAGGAGGAGCGTGTAACTGGGGCGGAAGCCGCAAGGGACCACCTGATGGGGGACCTGCATGGAAACAGCACCGACTGTATACACAATCCCAGGAATGGAATGCAGAAGGAAAGGGACCTCTGTGACCCTACCTCAGAGAGGGAGTGGAGGCCCAGGGAAGGTCAGCGCCAGGCCCAAGGTGACCGAGCAGGTCACAGGCCCGGTCCAGGCCAGGGCCGGGGCCCGGCGGCGGCGCACGGACAAGGGCTCACCGGCAGGTGTAGCTGAGGTTGCGCCGGATGCTCCGCTTGAAAAAGCTCTTGCAGCCCTCGCAGGTGAAGACGCCGTAGTGCTTGCCGCTCGACTTGTCCCCGCACACCACGCAGTCCACCTGCAGCCCCGGCCGTTCCTCATCGCCCGGCTCCGCGTCGCTGGCGGCGCCAGGGGGTGAGGCCGAGTCCTCCTCGGCCGCGCGCGGGTAGCCGCCCGCCTTGTCCACGCCGTTCGTGTCGCCGCCGCCGCCAGGGCCGCCCCAGCCACCGGTCACCATGGCCATAGCCCCAGAGCAGCGGGGCCGGGGCGCCCCCTCCGCGCACCCCTCTCGGCCCGAGGGACCCTATCCGGCGCGCATCCGGCCCAGGCGCGGGGGGGCACCGACTGCACCCCCCAAAAAAGTTTTGCAGCAACTTCCTGCGGCCGGTCCGCGCGCCCAGGCGGAACTGGTCGGGCCGGTTCCAGGCCAACTTTCCCACGCGTGCGCGGGGCAGGGCCCGGGGCCGGGGGGGGCACG